CTATAACTGGTTCCTTCTTCATTTCCATTGTCTCTCCCATGACACTTCTACTTTCTAACAGAAACATCATTTGCTAGTTAGTAAATACCAGTTGGTATTTCTTCTGAAAAATTATTTGTACATTATGTTTTAGTAGATTGACTGTTTCAAATGGACTAAAGTAAATCATTATTTAAAGAAACTTGCTAATGAACCCTTTGTGAAGTTTTTTTTATCATATAATAATCCCAGACTAATTTATCTGCTGCACTAAAGATTAATGACTATACTTCGCTATCTGTAACAAGGCACATTCACATTAAAACCAAGCCTGTTTCAAGTTCCAGTGTTCTCATGTTATTCCCTCACTAAACGGCGCCTCCTCTGTTATCCGTTTACACCTTGCAGCACACTCTGCAGAATTTTCTTATACCCAGTTCCTGTTCTAAAAGATACATGAGATACACATGCTCATTCTAATTAACTGCACACTAAACTCAGAATTATCAAAAGTCAAAGAGATGATTAATCAATCAATAACCCTCAAGCTATACTGTTGCAAAAACAAAACTAGATCAGTAACTCCAGGGATATTTTTTAAAAACCTGTGTCAGACCTGTGGCTGCCAGAGATTAGGGCAGGGCAAGGCCTGGGGGGAGCATGCAGTCGCAAAGGCAGGGCTCTTGGGAGTGTCTGTGGTGATGGAGCAGTTCTGTATCTTCACGGTGGTTGTGGTTACAAGGGCATAATGCACAATAACAGTTCACAGAACTATAAACGCACCCAAAAATAGAATGAGTACATACAAACACTGGTGAAATCTCAGTAGTCTATAGTTCATTGTATTTTGAAATGTTTATTTCCTCAGTTTGATAATGCTCTAGTTAAGTGAGATGTTAACCATTGGGGGAAGCTACATTAAGGGACCTCTCTATATGTTTTTCTTTTTGGCAATTTCTTGTGGGTCTATAATCAATTCAAAATAAAACTTCTAAACATTAAAAATTTCATATGTCATATGTGAGAAACTGACCAACATCATGATGTAGGGGAATTTCAAGTGAAAACAAGATAACACCTAATACCTATTAGAATGCCTAAAATCTGAAACGCCGACACCACCAAATGCTGGTGAGGATGTGGCCCACAGGAAGTATCATTCACTGTTGGTAGGAATGCAAAATGGTACAGCCATTGTGGAAGACAGTTTGACAGTTTCTTACCAAAACTGCTACCATATGATCTAACAATCACACTCTTTGGTATTTAATCAAATAAGTTGAAAACTTATGTCCACACAAAAACCTGCACACACATGTTTAAGGCAGCCTTATTCACAATTGCCAAAACTTAGAAGCAACCAAGACATCATCAGTAAGTGAGTGGATAAACCGTGGTAAAAAAAATTCAGTGGTTCTCAAACAGGGGTGACTCCCCTCCCCTCTGCTTCCCTGGGGACTTGCAGCATTGTCTGGAGACATTGTCTGGAAATAAACCGTGGTTTATATATGCAGTAGAATAGTATTCAACCATAGAAATAAATGACTATAAAGCCACACACATGTACAAAATGGATATGTTCTTATATTCATATTTCTAAGTGAAGGAAGTCAGTCTGAAAAGGCTACATACTGTTTAATTCCAACTATGACATTCTGGAAAAGGTAAAACTATAGACTGAGAAGAGCAACAGTTACCAGGGGCTTGTGTGTGGCAGGGAGGAGGAAGGGTGAACAGGTGGAGCACCGGGGGTTTTTAAGGCAGTAAAATTATTTTGTATGATACTGTAAAAGTAGATATACACATTATACATTTGTCAAAGTGAATAGAACTGTACAAATCAAAGAATGAACCCTAATATAATATATGGACTTCAGTTAATAATATTGTATCATTATTGGTTCATCAGTTGTTACAAATGTATCAAACTAACACAAGATGTTAATAACAGGGGAAACTACATGCAGGGAGAGGAGGATAGGAGAACTCTCTGTACTTTGTGCCCAATTTTCTGTAAATCTAAAACACACTAAAAAAAACATTTATTAATTTAAAAAATAAAGTAAAAAACTATGTCAAGTCTACTCATAAGTGAGGCCTACTTTGGCAAAGAATAGAAAATACTACATTAAATACCAACCACTGTGTGGATTTACATCCACATCATAATTGTATTCTCATACCCTCCATATTAAAGAAACAGCCATCATGTGGCAAGGATTCAATACAATGATGCTTGTGAAACTTTTTTGAAAGCAATGAAATACCCACAAATAGAGGTGCAACTCTAATACTAATTAAGCTACACAATAGATACACATAGTGAAGTTGAATCCCGCAGGAAGAATCTGGGCAGACTGGCTACCTGATTATTCATAATGTTCTCAGGTATGTTGGAAAAAAAGATGGCAATGAATACAGATAAGCTCTTATCTCTCTCAAATGCATTTCAATAAGATTCTGCTATTGATGGGGAGATGGAAAAAACAGCAGCAAACAAACATATGCACACCCATGTTCGCTGCACCATTACTAACGATAGCCAAGAGGTGGAAACAACCTAAATGTACAGTGACAGGTGAAGGAATAGACAAAATATAAACACTCTACAATGGGATATTACTCAGCCTTCAAAAAGAAGGAAATCCTGTCACACGCTACAAACATGGATGAATCTCGTGGACATTATCCTAAGTGAAATAAGCCAATCACAAAAGGGTAAATGCTGCATGATCCTATTTATATGAGGTAGTCAAATTCATACAAACAGAAAGTAGAATGGTGGTTGTTAAGGGCTAGGAGGAAAGAAAATAGGAAGTTGTTTAATGAATATGAAGTTTCATCTTTGCAAGATGAGAAGTTCTGGAGATCTATTCCACAAAATGTGCATATACTTAACACTCCTGAAATGTGCACTTAACAATGGTTAAGGTGGTAAATATTATATTGTTTTTTTATACCACACTCCAAAAAATGTAAATAATGTCAGGAACATGACTTCCACAGAATATTTTGAAGGTTTAAACATTGATTACAAATCCAGTCATGACACTGAAATCCTGAATGAAACTCTGACTCAGCAGGGGACAGAGTCCAGCACCGAGTCAGCATCAGAAACTCAGGAGAAAAGGACTCCAGGAAGTTGACACACAACAGGGCTTTTGCAAATGACAAAAAAGTGAGCAAAATAAGTTCCCTAAAACCCATCAGATACCAGAAGTTCACGAGGGGAACTTCAGGTTATAACCTCACTTTAAACTAATGCTGATCTCCATTACAGATCTTCTCAACTAGTGACAATAATGAAAATAACTACCATGAGTGAAGGATTAGTTTTGTGAAAATGTCCTGGTAACTTATTGCTGTGTAACAAACCATCCCAAAACATCCTAAAGTGTTCTAGTGGTTTCAAACAACAATCATTTATTTTGCTCAGGAAACTACAGTTGACCCTTGAACACCACAGGTCTGAAATGCATGGGCCCACCTATTGTGGATTTTTTTCAATAAATATACTGGAAAATTTTTGGAGGTTTGCAATAAGTTGAAAAAAACATTTTATTTTCTCTGTTTTCTCTATCCTACTTTATTTTTAGAATACAGTATATAATACAAAATGTGTTAATCAAATCTTTGTTATTGATAAGGCTTCCAGTCAGACTACGAGTAGTTAAGTTTTGGCGGAGTCAAAATTTACACACAGATTTTTTATTGCACGGTGGATTGGTGCCCCTAACTCCTACAACTGTTCAAAGGTCAACTGTACAATTGGGCAGGGTTGGGGAGCCTGAGCAACTCACCCATAGCTCCATATGTAGCCAGCCAGAGCAACTCACCCACAGCTGTCTACAGGATTTACTTTCAAGATGGCTCACTCGCATGGCTGGCAAGCTGTGCTAGCTATCAGCTCAAAGTTCAGCCAGGCGCATGAGCCTCAACCCTTTCACTTGGGCCTCTTCATGAGCAGGGTGGGCTTCCTCACACCATGTCAGCTGGCTGCCACGAATGAATGCCACAGAGCAAAATGGCAGTGCATAGCACTTTTATGATACTGCCTTTCAAGTCATATAGCACCATTTCTGCTATATTCTGTTACTCCAGATAGTACACATTTCACTCACAATCAAACAGAAGGGACATAAACCCTACACTACATGAGAGGACTGTCAAAGTGACTTTGTAAGAAGAAAATATGGAATGAGAGAGATTGGCTTGGCCATTTTTGGAAAATATGATTTGCCACAGTAAGTATTGTCAATATCATCCACATCTTGTAGAAGGGGAAACTGAACTTTGAAAAGTAATTAACTATCCCTGACAAAATTACACAGCTATTGAGTAATGGAGCCAGGATCCAAATCCAGATATATCTGACTCCCAGAGCCAGAGCCCTTAACTACTTTTAACCATTCTTAAGCAATCTGCTTACCACTTCCTCTACAATTCCCACTCTAATCACTCCAGTTCCAAAGATCTTACTTTCTTCGCATATGAAGGGTTTTTCATTTCATGCAATTAATATGAAAATAAACTTTAACTTCCCAACCATCTCATTTAGTGACTGACACATAGAAAGCTCTCTAAATTTTTGCTAAATTAGGTATGTGTCCTCTTTGCAATACTAAAACTATGAACTCCTTGAAAGAAAGGATCAAATTTAGTAAAACCTAGTATTTCCATGAAATCTGAATCAGATGGAGTTTAATAAACTCTCATTTGGAATGTGCCAACTTGTTTAGATGTTTCTCTCTTCAAACTTCCATCAGACGGAGCTACTAAAAGTCAGGCACAGGGCTGGATGCCTAGGCCACAGAAACCTCCATGCCCCACACCAACACACAACCCTACACTGTGGGCCCGAAACAAATGTTATGCTGAACAAATGAATGAACAAGTAAATGGCATATAGGCATTAAAAAGACACAGGCCCAAAATGGGTTCACTTCTTCTAAGCTGCTCAGTCACCCAACATAGGGTCACTTCTGCTAAGCCACTAAATCACCAAACCCAGGCTTACTCACCTAACTGTAGCTTCAATCTCTTCCAGAAATGTAATCAGTCAGGAATTTTCTGGACAGCATCAATAAGATAGTGTCACATGTGCCCTCTTCATCCCCAAAGGAAGATGAGGTCATCCACCTAAGGAAAGGACACTCTTATCCTTGCCTCTCAAACATATAGATAGCACGGGAATGTGGATAACATGATCTTTTAGGAAAATAGCTAGATGTATCCACGCCACACCCATTGATGTATTGATAAATGTAACCTTTCTGCACATATCCCCTCCTGTAAATAAATTATTTAAGATGTCTCCAAAGGGATTTAGAGCTGTTTATCAGAACACATTGATGGGCACTCATACCATGTCCTCAGTCAGACTGTGAATAAACCCTGTCTTTCCTAAACATAACAGTCATGTTGATTTCAGCTGACATAGAGATGAAACTAGAATGAACATAATCTAGATTTATGATCACTTCCTTCATTCAAACAGGGACAAACTAATATAATCAGAGAAATGACAGCCCATTACTGTGCCTGCTGGCCCAACCCTAAACAAAGCAATCTGACTTCTATTTTGGTGGATAAATAAAATGACAATGGGTTTCATGTTGGGAGAGAACAGATAAAGGTGACAAGGGAAGGAAACATGAGTGAAAAGATCTTTAGCTGCATAAAGAAGAGGATGCTATTGCTAATTACAAGCCATCTACTCTGATGCTTTTTGACGCCCTTCCTGTTGGCTGTTGGGGTCAGTGCGGGATGCAAGAAGGGAATTAATGTTCCCTGGTGCTACTCCACACCAGGCTCTCTGCCGAGCAATAGCTCAGGCTTTTACTCCCACGTATACATTTTCATAATAAAACCTGTAACAGCTGGAACCAGAAGTAGAAACAAGAAGTAGTGCAGTATTTCATGGGCTCTTAGAAAACCATTTTAAGAAATAATTATGGAGACAGGGCAACTAATTCTACCTTACAAAAATTCCAAGTGGGAAGTTCACAGGTGTTAATAGTGATTGCTAATGGATGAGTTCAAAGAGCAATAATCTCCTTCCATATACACATCTTCGTAAAAAAAAAAAAAAAAATTCTTTCTTTCACTTACCACCCAGCCTTGATTTCTTCTAGGCTTTCTCCATCTACAACACTTCTTTATTTCACAAGGAATCTCTGCAGCAAGCAATATGCTCTGTCTTTTCCAAGTACAAGTAGGTAAAGTGGATTGTAGCAGTGATGAAAGCAGAAAGGGAGAGTGGAGAAAAATGAGTGTCTTCATGCTTTTTATCCTCAAAATTCTTTAAATAAAACTTAATTTTGCTGGTGATTGCCCTTTAAATGTGTTAAATTAGAGAGAGGTAATGTACTCTACTTTTTCCAATTTTTCCATTTATTAATGGTCTCTTCATGCGTATAGCACAGAAGTGTTGAGGGCAGACCTTAACAGTGTATTGTTATGTTGAGAAAACTAATATTCATATAACTGATGAGCATATTTTTCTTTATCTGGTTCATAAAAATTTCCCCAGTTACTTCTGAAATTAACAAAAACACTTATACAAAAGCATACAAATTCTCCATTCTCAGAACTCTGCCTCCCACTCCAACTGTCATATTATGACGGTTTGAGGCTATATGATCACGATGGCTTTCGTTTTGATATCAGAGAAATGGTGGCTCATGTCTTTCATTGCTACAACCATCGCTTTATGTGAAGCACGTAGGGGAATATTCTGTTCAAAATCAAGTCCTCTCCTCACTCTCATCCACCTCCCACATCCACCCACAAAACAAACGTTTTGAGTGAAACAATACTAACCATCATTCAGTGCATGGCTCAAAAACATATTTAAAATAAAGAAAATAGTTCTTAGGATTAGAATACATTTACAAAGCAATTTTACAAATCTCTGAATAGGGAAGAGTTCTTCCAATGGACAAACTGAATTCTTAAAGAAAACCAAAGGGGAACCAGATGGACCCACAGTGAGGTTTTCAAATAAAGCCCTCTTCTCAGGGGCCAAGGCATCTGGGAGGCCCACCAGGGTGCTGAGGAGTGGTGTGCCCGGCTACCTGCACTGCAGCCTAGGCCATTTCTGCATTCCCTGTCTGATGCAGTAAGATTCTATTACAGATACCTTCTGAATAATTACCAGTTTTTATTTTAAGTAACTAATTTAGTAGATGAAAGTACACTTAAGACATTATTTATACCACAGTTTACCTATCAAAATAGTCTAGCATGCCAGCTAATATGAGTAAACCCTTCGTAGAAACAACCAAGGACAACTGCTAGAGTACAACCACTGCTTTTGCTTCTGTCATTTTTATCAAGAACAGTACAGGTTTTAAAACATGTTCACGATGTTTGACTCTCCTCCCTACTGAAGGTGACTCCTGTTTCCCCTTCCCTCAGATTGGCCTTTTCTAACACATAGGATATTGCGGAGATGATGCTATATGATTTTCAAGGCTAGACTATAAAAAGGATACAGCTGCCATTTAACCATCTCTGTCTCAAAGTTTGGCTCTGGGGTAGATCAGCCATCCCAACAAGCACCAGTTTACCAGCCAGAGCAAAGAGCTGCCTTGCTACTAACTTGCTGGGCCTTCAGATGACTGCAGCCCCAGAGGACTCAGGAGAGACCCTGCTATGCTGCTCCTGGATTCCTGACCCATGGAAACTGAAAGATATTAAAGGTTTATTGTTGGTTTAGCCACTAATTTGCAGGGGCTGGGCGGAGGGTGGGGAGATAATTTGCTATGCAACAATAAATCACCAGTACAAGAAGTACCTCTACTAACTTTTGTTTTTGAACTGCTTCACAACATTTAGGCTCTAGCCAAACTAGATTATTTATCCTTCCCTAACACCTCCTCTTGAAGTCCCCATTCTTCTCCCTTCCCCCGCCCACACTTGACTCCTCAGCTCACGGGGAATCTTTCCCTCCTCGCAGCCCCCGAAACCTTTTCTGAGCCTCCCTTCGCACTTGATCTTTTGTGTTCATTATTTGTGTGTCTGTCTCCTCTCCCAGGCCAGACTGAAAGACCAGGAAGGCTTCGTTTCTAAAGAAAGTCACGATCAACTTAGAATCCACACAAAATACTTTGTACATAGCAGGCATTCAGTCGATTTACTGAACAATAGAAGGAAATACCAGTTGGTGAAACATGGCAAATAGGGCAACCACCAAATGAACCAAGTCATCCAAGGGCATGTCTCACTTCTCAGAGGAAATACCCAGGGCCAAAAACGAGTGTCCATGTGACACGCAAACTTACAGCCTCTAGTTCTCTTTTTCTGTCCCCAGCCTGTCAGCCAGTGAAACACCCTTTGGCACTTTCCTGAGAACTCCGGGAAAACCTGCAAACAACCATGTGAAGGGGCGAATGACGAGGAGCTGACTTGCATCTGCCGGGGTACTTTCGTATCAAAATAACATTTAGGGGAAATATGAATCATATAGCAATGAATGGGTATCATGGCATTATGGCATTCATTTTGCTAAGAAAAAAAAAACTTTCTTGGATGTTAGCAGCCAAACTAATCACTTACCAGGTCTATGAGACGGTTATACAGGAAACTGAAGTATGCAAAACGGCACCCCAGAGCATCCTGTTGGAAAATTTTTCTGTACTTAGAGGTAAATACAGAAGAAACTCACCAAAAATATCTTAGGGTGGTAAAAACTCTATACACTGCATATAGGATATCAACACATACACGGTGGAGAAGAGATGGGATTAATATCCTCATGGCCACTGCAGACATTTGACTGCCTCTCAAGCATCCATGTTTTCGCCCACTCTTTCTAAATATTACCAGATTTTTGTTCTGGCATTCTTTGATCACCAGCCTGCTCATTTGCTAGGGGAATTTGTCCCATGTCCAGCTACAAAGTTCAGTTCCGGCAGACAGAGAAAAACAAAGAGAAAACAAACCGTAAATGACCTAGGGAGTGGCTGATGCAAATGAATTAATTTTATAGCTCACTACACCTCTAACCTTATCACTTACATAAGCTTTTACTGTTTAAATCACTCAGCACTGGGTCTTCTGTTATTACAATCAAAATCATCCTAACTGCTACACAGAAAAACCTAAACCACACATCATGGATGCATTATGACAAACCTCATCTGCTACAAAATAAGAATAAACAAGCAAATAATTGCCAAGTACATCCCCAAAACATGTAATAATACTTTTCTTTTCCTCTTGGAGGTTGCAATGCACAGAGTATATATTAAAGGCCTTAAAAGTTCCTGAAATTTAAAAAAATGCTATTTAACCTCTTTAACTAGTTTATCTAAATTGATCTGACCTCATATTATTTATCACACAAAACCAAGTAACACTGGTTGTTCTGAAACACATACTTTGGGCCATAGGTTTCAATCTTGATAACAACTGAGTCAACTCTCAAGGTTATGGATGTAGGAAGCCTGTAAATTTAATTCCATGCTAATTTCTCTTGCAACCTGGAGCCCTATTAGGATATCTCCCACTGCTTCACACATAGGCCTGTGCAAATTAGCACCATGTCAACCGAGCAAAACAAATTAAGCAAAATGAATCAATCTATTGGCCCCAAATCCACATTACATGAAAATGCAGAGGCTTTTGAATCACTGCAAAGTTCTAGATTACATCTGGAGTTCTTTCCTCAAACACAAAGGTTTGCCTGTATCTGTAACATCAAGAGTGTAGGGAGAGGAGCTTTGGATCCCACGTCAGTATACCTGGGTTCAAACCCTGGCTCTACTACCCACTTGCAAGTGTGTAACCTTGGCAAGTTTGTTTCCAGGCTGCAGATCCTCACTATAATGTGAATTCCAATAGACACTACTTAAAAATCTAGTATATAAAAAAACTGATATAAATATTAAATAATAATAATCCATCTAAAGTAAGTTAGCACAGTGCCTGGCACATAGTAAGGGTGCAATAATTTCTATTGTGTGGTTGTAATAATTAATATTGATAAGGAAAATAATTAACATACAAAAGATACATCAGAACTTCAAGGGAAATGAAACATGAATTAAAGTAATAATAACTCTCAATGTAAAGTAAACGGATCCCACTTAAACATAAATTCTTGATTATTTGCTTGCAAAGAATGAACGGGGTATATTAAAAATAAATAGCACCTCAAAATTCATAAACCAAGTATCTACAAGCCTATCTTCAACACATCTTAGAATAAAATTCCCAGTGCATCAATAGACACACATACAAATGAAATTCAAAGAATGTTCCATAATGAAATCTGCAATCTTTCTAACAATCAGCATTTCAGATGACTAGCACCACTAAATGAGCATGCAAATTCAGTGTACTTTCAGATTTGCAATTGACTTGTCACAGAAATACGTGAACGAATTATAGATAATTCCTTTATTAGACTTCAATCTAAAGCTAAGCTTTATTTAGGCTTTCAACGTGTAGCATCTATTTTCTAAGTCAGATATGCTGCCAACTGTCAAACTGATAACACAAACTTCACAAAGATGAAGCAGGGAGGAAAACAGCAATTTGACTTGCACTCAACTCTTGGGTTTTACCTTGAAGGATAATATAATGAACATATATACTCTCCTAAGCTATGGACCAGGTTTAAAAATCTTGGGAATCCCATTTCCACTGAATAATTAGGCTAACAGAATAGGGTTCAGACTATGCTATTTGCCAGCTTCACGTAACCCTGGCCACCTCACGCAGCAGCCCAGGCTGTGATCCCTGAAATCCTGGCTGCAGTGTCATTCACTCCAACCATGGTATGAATTACACCTTGGAGCTCAGCGGTGCACAGGCCACATGCCTTACAGGGCGATCCCAAAAGGATAGACATATTTGCTCAGTCCAGCTCAGGCCTAGATTCTCTAGAACTTGCCCAAGAGGATTTGCGTCCACTAAAAAGAACAGCATAGGTTTCAATCAGGCAAATAATTGAGCAAAAGGGGTGCTGACAACAAACGTGGGAGCAAAATTTGTGTCCCTGGGGTCACAGCACAGAAAGAGAACCTTCTGCTTTACCTCAGTGTGACTTTGTGTGTGGCTTATTCACTTCCTCAATCTCTCCCTGAACTTGCTTGTGAAATCAAAGGACTGTAAGTGCCCATAAAAGCTAACCCCTACTGAGCCTCTCCTAAAAGCCAGATACTACCCCAGCATTATCTCATTTAATTCTCA